AGAAAAGGTAAGGTGGAGGGCACTTACCGCATCGGCAGGTCTTGAGCAGTGAGAAAAACAGCCTCTCCTTGAGAGGGGTACGGATTTCAGGGGCATGGGAAAGGGAATCCACCGCAGCAGGGCACCTGGACCTAACGCCTCGCTTTAGCCATTACTATCCACACCATCTTGGCAAGTCACCTCATGGCTCTCAGCCTCAAGAACCTCAAGTGTGAAATAAAGACGCTTACTTTACGTATTTCACAAGGCTATTCTGAGGGTTTAATGAAAAACGCTGGTGAAAGCGCCTGGCATATAGAAAGCTAGCTGAATAGAACCTAAATTTCTTGAGTGGATGCAAATAAAAGAGATACTAAAACCAGTTTTAAAAACACATGCACATCCATGTTGTTAATGTCGGTGAAAGCCTTTTAGGGTAAATCTGTCCACAGAAAATAGATACGATACACAGAGTGGAGGCAGGTGAGGCGGAAATAGCGATCCAGGAAAATAATGACATTAAGTGGCTCGTTCCGAGGACCTAGCAGATTGGCAGTTGTTATCCCCTTTGCCAACTTGTGAGTTTAAAAAGCCAGCATCCAGCTTCCCTTTCATGTCAATGTCAATTAACGGCACAAAAACCTAGTTCAGCCCTGGCCGGTGTGGCTCTTGGATGGGGCTTCCTCGGGTGCACAGACGGTCACCCGTGGGACAGGAGCGGGTGGCGGGCGCCGTCCCCGGTAGGGGGCGTGCAGGAGGCAGCCCACCCAGGTGTCTCTCTTCGATGGTTCTCTCCCTCCCTCCCCCTTCTTCTCTATAGAAATCACTAGAAACCAGTTCAACCCGAGTTCCCTCTTGGAACACAAGACACGAACAAATTCTGCTTCCTCTGACAATGACTTAACTCCTCATCCGCGGAGCAAGGCCTAGACTAGTAAAACGGCCAGCCCCCAACTCACACATACCCCCGTCTCCCCAGAGACCCAAGGGAAACAAACGGCAGCTCACCTTCTTGATGGCGACAATTTGGTTGGTGTTCTTGTCTCTGGCCTTGTAAACCGTGGCAAACTAGAGAGAAATGCAAAAATAACCCAAGCGCGTGGGAAGGTTGTTTGTTTGTGTCTGTCTTTTTTCTTTAGGTCTTGGGAAGCCAAGAAGCAAAGATTCTAGGAGCGGACTCCCGGCGGCTGGAAGCGTGGGGGGCAGCCCACGCCGCGTTCCTGTCTGTGGCCGAGAAGGGAGAGGGCCGCTCCGGGTGGGCAGGGGGGCAGCGGCGGCCGGCAGCCAGGCCAGCGGCCAGGCCGGCCTCGGAGGGCACGCGAACACCGGGGAAGACGTGGGGCGACCTGGCGCTCTGCCCGCGGGATGCCCCGAACGCCGAGAGCCTCACCTGTCCCTCCCCGAGGAAGTCCAGCTTCTCATAGCGCTTTGCTCGCGACTTCACGTCCACAGCCATCCGTCACGCGAAGCCCGGCGCCAGCCGCAAAGGGCGAGCTCCCCGGACAGAGGGAATTTAAAGCTACTTTAAAGCCTCCAACAGCCACTTCCGCTCACCAGGCTCCGACGCGATGTTAGCCCCGCCCCACTTCCGGGGTGGGCGTGGCCCTGCTAAGTAAGTTCGGCCGCAAGGAAGCTGCGCGAAGCTGGGCTCCTGGGCTGTTCTGCGCAGCTCCCCGCCCTCTCACGTGCTGGCCTGTGGGTGCCGGAAGCCGGGTGTTTCAGGGTGGTGCCCACGCGTGTCACCTTGTTATCGTTTTAACTTGTATTATTTTCTGAACTACCGCGGCGGGTCAGCGTTCTGCTACGGTTCTGAGTCCGGAATTTAATAGGTGTGTGTGCGTGCGGCAGGCTCGGCCTTCTCCCTCATCTCCCTTTCTCGTTCTAGGTCGTGGGTGTTCTGGCGCTATGGTTGCTATGGACGCCTGGCCCCCGCAGTCTCGGGTTACTTAGACGCCTGCCCACTTCTTCAGGGCAGATCAAGAGGCGTTCTTATTAGTCCAGTGCTTTTATGAAGAAGCACAGGCAGGGAAACAAAATCCAAGTCAACTGAAGGATTTTGTGCTGTGGAACAGACTTATGGTCATCAGTGTTCTACTCCGTGAAGTGGAAATAATAGACTACATCACAGGTGGTTGTGAGGATTAAATGAGACATGCAGAAAGGTTAGAGTTAGACATAGTAAATGCTCAATTAAGTGTTAGCTGTGATCAATACCCAATTTCCTCATGAGTTTTCACAAATTAACAAATTATACATATTAATTCATTTATTCAATGAATATTTATTGAATATGCTAGGCTCTGTTGTAGACTGAGAAATGAGCCAGAAAAAGACGAAGATTCTTGCCTTCAAATGGGAGTAGTTAACAACCAAGTAAAATATGTTACGATTTTTAAAATACTATGATACATAGTTATAAGTGATATAGAGATAATAGAGCAGGGAAAAGAGAGAGAGGTATTAGGCTTTTCAGTTTTAAATATGGTGGGACAAGACAAACATCAGTTTTGAGCAGACAAATGATATGATCCGACCATGTTTCCAAAGGTCCACTCTGGCTGTTGTGAGAGACCAAACTTGGTGTGGGGGAGGTGGCAAGGAAAAGCAAGGCCAGGTAAGGAATTACTGTGGTAATGCAGATGGCTGTATTAGATGGTACCAGTTTTTCTAGCCAGAAGGATTTGCTGACAAACTGGATGTGTTGGGTGAGGGAGTAAGGAAAGCATAACTCTAAGGTTTTGAACTGGGGCATTTGATGTAAGACTTGAGAATCCTGGTTTTTCAGTTATGTTGCCAAAGGCAGCAGAATACCAAGGCTCATAATTTAGTAAAGATAATATAGTGTAAACATTGAGTCCTTGCTGTGGGTCTAAACTGCCCACATTGACTCCTAGGCCAAATATTCAATCAATGGATATATAACTTGGGCAGATGATTTAACCTTTCTGTCCCTAGTTTCCTCCTCCATAATAGGACCTCATCATTGGGTTGCAGCAAGGCTTAAGTAATTTCACTCTAAAAACCCTTAGAAAAGTGTCTGATAGTGCTCTATTTATGTTAACCATTACGTAACTATTGTTGGTCACCTCCCAGCTCTTTTCACTACTTGGGTCTTTATTGAGCTCTGATATGTTCATAGGCAAACTTCTCATACATTGCAGAAAACACACCATCTTTATCACTTAATTCTTAATTTTTTACTTGTGGCAAGTCATACCTAATGATCCATGGTGTGACATGACTTAGGCCAAAGTTCCTTTTTAAAGACATCACTGTAACAACTAACCTCACTTTTAGTAAAAATAAGCTAAGTAGTGAGCTAAATTTGATGGTAGCCCTGTGAGGCTTGAGTGTGCTACGGCATAAATGCACTTTCACACATTGGTAGTAGCCATCTTCCAAGATGGCCCCAATGATTCTTGCCTTCTCATATTAATGAACTGAGTAGATTCCTCCCACAATGAAACAGGCTGTTATGTGTGACCAGCAGAATATGGCAGAAAATGTAACTTCTGAATTTAGGTCATAAAAGGCATTAATACTTCTGTCTTTGTATGCTTGGATGATTTACTGTGGGGGAAGTCAGCCAACATGCCATGAATTTGCTCAGGCAGCCTTGTAGAGAGGAACTGAGTCCTCCTGTCAACAGCCAGCTTCATTCAGCTTGCACCCTCATGAGAGACACTGACTGAGCAGAACTGCCCAGCCAACCTGCTCAGGAATTCCTGACCCAGAGAAAACATAAGCTATTGATTATTGTTGCTTTTAGCCACTAAGTTTTGGGGTGACTTGTTACAAAGTAATAGATAGTACTGGAAAGGAAAACCTAAAGGTGGCCCTCAGACAGATCCAGTATTAGGCCCACAGTATTACTCAAGCCACTCTTTATTACCTGAGCCCACTGTTTCTGAAAGTAAAAAAATTTGCCCTGGGCTTCCTTTCACTGAAAAAAAAAAATAAAAAAATAAAAAAAAAGTTAAGGCCCTAACCGGTTTGGCTCAGTGGATAAAGTGTCAGCCTGCGGACTCAGGGGTCCCAGGTTCGATTCTGGTCAAGGGCATGCACCTTGGTTACGGGCACATCCCAAGTGGGAGGTGTGCAGGAGGCAGCTGATTGATGTTTCTCTCTCATCGATGTTTCTAACTCTCTATCCTTCTCCCTTCCTCTCTGTAAAAAAAAAAGTCAATAAAATATATCTAAAAAAAAGTTAAGGGGGGGGGGGTTGGGAAAACAGTGGTAGTTTTAAAGAAAAATCTTCCAAATAAATGTAAATAACACACCAAAAAAACATGAATTTTGTATTTTTTGAGTCACCAAAGTAGTGTATTGTTAGCACCAAACCCCTGCCTCAAATTTGAGTTGGGCAACATTTTCACTAGACCACAACACAGAATTTGCAAGAGAAGCAGATCAACTCTAGAATAGTAAATACAACAACAACAACAAAAAAAGCAAATGAACCCATAGGCAACTGGGCAATACTCAACAATTCTACTCATCTATTGCTTACAAGCTACCTTTTCTATTAGAGATGACTTCTTGAAAGCATATTCTAGAAATCATTAACGGTACAGAAGAGAATTTATTTAGCTTTGTGAGGCTTTACTTTCACAATAATATACCCTTGGCACAGGAAGACCCTTTAAAGTCTCATAAATTGCTTAACAAAGTAAATATTTACGTTGACTTAATGAAGCTTTCAGACATTAAGTTTGAGAAAGTTAATGATTAGCACAATTGCATACATTATCACAATCCAAACAGTAAACCAAAGAACAAGATTTTCTTAACACCCCATAAAACGTAAGAATTAGCAATTTTTACTCAAACATTATACCTCTGCTATATTTTGATCTCTGATTTTATACTGGCTTTTTCTTTCTTTCTGAAAATAGCTTACTCTTTTGTGTTAACTCCCTAGTCTTAATACCCAAAGGTCACTGGATATACCTTGGCTCTATTTTTATTTAGTGTAGGATGTGCTTACTAAGCCGGTTATACTCCAGTAACTTTGTGAATGAAAAAAATGCTAAGAGAATTAACAAATAATGGAGTCATTATTTCACCTATCCTCATCCAATTTCAGGAAAATCACTTCCAAAAAGCAATTCTGCCTGATAAACTAATGTCTAAACAGAAACCGAAAGAAAAGTGAAATTATGGGAAATCTATGATGGTTTATTAGACATTGTGTGCTTTTAATAGTTAAACACTGGTAATACTTGATAATAAGAGTAAATTAATAGACTAACATTTTTAAATGTGTACTTTAATAAGTATAAAGTAAATAAACAATTAGGTAAGCTTGTGGAAAAGCTGCCAAGATACATAAATTAAGAAATACAGTGTCTATCTAAGTTTTCTATATTTCTTTCTTTTTTTTTTTTTTTTTACAGAATATTTGTTAAAGTTGTTTAATGTATAATTTCTCATTAGTCATTTTGGAAGTCCTTTATTGTAAAGATTATTCTTTTGTTTGATAACAAACAGCAGCCATAGTGTCAGTGATTATTCAGGACCTCCACGCTGAAAAAGAAAAAATAAAACAGATTAGGTATCAAATTTACAGAAAAAATGTTTTCATGGCCACTATACAAATTTACACTATTTTAAGTAAATGATCTTTAGTTTTTTAAAACAATTTCAGGTTTTCTCATTGCTTTATGTCACTCATAGAAATGTTATAAATAATTTCAGATCTGGAAGGGATTCAGGTTGATCCAGATCAGTGGTCCTCAAATTTCGTGGTCTCAGAAGCTCTTTACAATCTGAAAAATTGAGAACCCTAATGAGCTTTTTTCTAATGTGCTTATGTTGATTGCTTCTACACATACTTCTACACATATATTTCTTCATGCATGTAAACTGAGGGCTTGGACATGGTTTATTTCTCATAGTCCTGGCCTATCAGACCATCTGTATCTTAATTATGGACACATCATGACAAGACAATGGGAAAGGCATGTAAATCAGCATATGAAATTCCAAAAGCCAAAAACGTTAAGGTGTTTTGCATAATATTGTGATAAAGACCAACAACATACTTGGATATATTCGACTTCTTCTTGAGACACAGGTTTCCTTCTGTATTTCTGAGGTAATGTTTTTATTATTTCTGCAGTGTCTGGTGGACCCTGATGCATCAGCCAATCTGACGATTTACTTCCCTTAGAATGCTGTGAAATTGAAGAAGAGTGAGATGGTACTCCTGTTGATCTCACAGCTTCTGATACTGAAATTTAAAAAATGTAATTAGAGAAATTGTTCAGGTGTCTTAAAATACTATGTTGTGTTCTCCATTATTGAATAATCTAGTCATTCTTGAAATAAGTATTATAATTCTGAGAGGTATTAGAGTAACTTAGTTGGGTAGCTATATATAATTTCATAAAGTTCTTAAAAAAAGGAGGTAATATTAAACGAGTGAGTTACTAAATTGAACAAATTTATAAAATAATGAAATTTCTAGGTAGTGGAATTCAACCCATATAGATAACCTACATTACTTAAGTTTTGTCATATGGTGGAATTTACAGGTAATATCTTACAATGGGGAAAAAGAATTTTGATAACTATAGATGAGATTAGTTTTCTCAATACTTTTCATTACCTATATCTTAATTCAAGAGTTACAATAGCCCTAACTGGTTTGGCTCAGTGGATAGAGCATCAGCCTGCAGACTGAAAGGTCCCAGGTTCGATTCCGGTCAAGGGCATGTGCCTTGGTTGCGGTCACATCCCCAGTTGGGGGTGTGCAGGAGGCAGCTGATCGATGTTTCTCTCTCATTGATGTTTCTAACTCTCTATCCCTCTCCCTTCCTCTCTATGAAAATCAATAAAATATATTTTTTTTAAAAAAGAGTTACAATAAGTTAAAAACACCTGTGTAAAATTTGTTAAAATTCTCCCTGAATTAAGGATCAAATAGCTTATAATAAAGACAGAGACAGAGGATCGGGTAAAAAGGAGGGGTCAGAAAAAAACAGGACTTGTTCAGAATCTTTAGTTACGTTATGATTACTAAGGTTTATAGCAATCAAAGAAATATTTACTGATTGAATGGATAAATGAGTCAATGAAAGAAAAGGTTAGCTGGGAGAGAAATATGGAAATGGTTATTATTCCTCACAATATATGCAAGTGTAAGTGTGGGAGATTAAAGGATAGAAGGAAAAAAAGGTAGAACAAAAATTCCCCTGTATAAACTCAATATCATTAAAAATTCAGAGACTTCTATTGAGTCATTACCTTTTTAAATGGAATAAGTTAATTTCTACTTGCATGCAACCTAAGGTACATACCACTTTTTTAATAAAATATATTTTTACTGATTTCAGAGAGGAAAGGAGAGGGAGAGAGAGAAATATCAATGATGAGAGAGAATCATTGATTAGCTATCTCCTGCATGCCCCCTACTTGGGAGCCCACAACCTGGGCATATGCCCTTAACCAGAATCAAACCTGGGACCCTTCAGTCTGCAGGCTGATGCTATATCCACTGAGCAAAACCAGCTAGGGGGTTATGTACCATTTTCATCTAAGTTACCGAATCTACCTAATTTTAAAATGAAAAATATTGCCTATAATAGGATATTCATGTATAAGTATACATGTACATCTTTGCAAAAATAAATGCCTTGGTCAGGTAGCTCAGTTGGTTAGAGCGCTAAAGTTCGATCCCAGTCAGGGCCCATACAAGAATCAACCAATGAATACATAAATCAGTGGAACAACAGAATCAATGTTTTTTTTTCTTCCTCCTCTCTCCCCCTCCCCTATCCTCCCTTTGAAGTCAATAAATGAAAATTTTAAAAATCTAAAGTACAACTTACCATCTAGTTTAGGATTGTCTCTTCTGTTAGGGAACCTTATTAATGGAGTATGTGGCTTGACTACCTAAAGGAAAAAAAATGCATAAAAAAGATGAAACACTAAAATAAACTCATTAAATATATATATATATATACAAGAAAATTTACTGAACCACATAGATACCTTCATTAAAATAAAATACCTTAGTATTTGACAGCAATTTTTATTTTTTTAGCAATTTTAAATTTTACTATTTTACTCTTCCCCAACCAGGAAAGCTGGTCTATGAATTATTAACTTGTTTATCTTATCTGCTATTCATAATAACTTTGTACTTTATACATCACAAGACATTTTACTGTACTCCCAACTGACCTCAAAGACAACCCTATGAAAAAGATGACATTGATTATATGTTGTGTGACTTATATATCACCCTGTTGATTGGTAAGAATTGGAAGTTTCCTGACTTGTATTGAGTGTTGTTCCCCTACTCTGTTACTATCTAGCAGTTTAGAATAGGACAAAAAGCATATTGAAAATTAGGTAATTAAAAAGATACTTTTTCTGAGTAAAAAAGTAACGTGTTTTGTGTAAAAAATTTGGGAAAAATGCAGAAAAGCACTAAGAGGAAAACTATAATCCCCAAAGCCACATAAAACAGGTTTAAACATTTGATAATCCTTTTAGTCTTTTTCCTATACCTATAGAAATACATACTTTTCATTGCCCTAATTCATCATGCCATTTCCATCCCCATTCAATCTCTGCCCAATCCCACCCATTTCCATGCCTCCCCTTTCATCTGACTGTTTATCTTTTTTTTTTTTTTAAATATATTTTATTGATTTTTTACAGAGAGGAAGGGAGAGAGACAGAAAGTTAGAAACATCGATGAGAGAGAAACATCGATCAGCTGCCTCCTGCACATCTCCCACTGGGGATATGCCCGCAACCCAGGTACATGCCCTTGACCGGAATCGAACCCGGGACCCCTCAGTCCGCAGGCTGACGCTCTATCCACTGAGCCAAACCGGTTTCGGCATGACTGTTTATCTTTTAAAACAGCTCAAATATCACTCTGCTCTAAGAAACTTCCCCTGATTCCAAAATCTGATATTTCTACTTTGTGTTTCCATGGTATCCTGAACATCTTAAGAATACTGTGCAGCAGACAGAAAAATGAGCCAGTGATGTACAGGAGAGCTGAGCTCCTGGAAAGGCAGAGTCAGAGAATTAAGCACTTCTGCAGCGGTGCCTGATACATGACATAATAAGTGCTCAAGAAACATATGCCAAGTGAGTGAATAGACTATCTGTATGGTAGGCCTAAGTATATAGGTATGTAAGTATATAGACACACACTCAACAATACAGGGGTGGGCAAAAGTAGGTTTACAGTTGTAATACAAATACCTGATAAATAAATACAAGAATAAATTGTATTTTCCATACTCACAACTGTAAACCTACTTTTACCCACCTCTGAGGTACATCAGAGAGAAAGAATTCATTTCAACGTTGCTTTTGAATACTTAAAACTATAATGTAATATGCCCTTATAAGCTAAATTCCCACACTATTTGGGTTCCCCCTTCCTAAAAAAATACATAGCCAGGCTGATGTAGCTCAGTGATTGAGCATGGACCTATGAACCAGGAGGTCACGGTTCCAGTCCTGGTCAGGGCACATGCCTGGGTTGTGGGCTCAATCCCTAGTGGGAGCTGTGCAGGAGGCAGTCAATTGGTAATTCTCACCATTGATGTTTCTAACTCTGTCTCCCGCTCCCTTCCTCTCTATGAAATCAATAAAAACATATTTAAAAAAATAACTAAAAATACATAAAAGTAGAGAGAGAGAGTAGGGCAATAAGCCCTGATAAACACATTACACAACTTCAACAGTAATACAGTCAATCTTATGTTATCACCCCTCCCCCTACAAGGGAAAATATTTGATAATTTGGACTGCACTAAAAAGAAAATAAAGATCTTTAACACATCAAGAAAAAAATCCAAATTTAAAAATACCAACTAGTTAAAAAATTTCATAACAGACCAAAGGTTAATAGCCATTATATACAGAACTTGTAAGCATAGCAAAATGGGTAAGAAGTCTTCACAAGTAAAGAAATGAAAATAGCTCTTAACCATATGAAAAGATGGTTAGCCTCATGTATAATAAGACAAAGTTAAAAGTACATGGTAATATTTTTCATCAATGAGATTTTTTGTTTTTTGTTAATCCTCACCCGAGGATATTTTTCCATTGATTTTTAGGGAAAGCAGAAGAGAGAGGGAAAGTCAGAAGAAACATTGATGTGAAACACATCAATTGGGAGGAGACTGCAACCAAGGTACATGCCCTTTCTGCAGGCTGACACTCTATCCATTGAGCCAAACTAGCTAGAGTCATCAATTAGATTTTAATGTACAAGTTGGATAACACAAGACTGTTGGGAAGGCTGTAAGGAAGCCTTACATTCACTGCTATAGGAATGCATCCTATATAATAAAACCCTAATGTGCAAATCAACTGCACAGTGGAACTGGTTGCTATGACACGCACTGACCACCAGGGGGCAGATGCTCAATGCAGGAGCTGCCAGAAGGGGAGTGGGCCTAAGCCGGCAGGTGAACACCCCTGGGGGGCCCCCTGGACTGCGAATAATACTAGCATGTACTGCTTTGTATTATGAATATCTGAGTCAAAGTCTTTGCAACTCTGTTAGGAGACAAACCATTCCTTATTGTATACCTCAAAGTATCTTTTTTTCATGTATCAGTATTTAGTTCTTTACTATTACTGTATATTGTTGCATTTTAACACACCTACCACAATTTGTTTATCCTGCTAATGGACGTTTGATTGTTTCTGGTTTGGGGGTTGTTATAGATAACGTAGCTATGGACATTTTTATTTTTTTAAACATATTTTATTGATTTTTTACAGAGAGGAAGGGAGAGGGATAGAGAGTTAGGAACATTGATGAGAGAGAAACATCGACCTACTGGGGTGTGCCCACAACCAAGGTACATGCCCTTGACCGGAATCGAATCTGGGACCTTTCAGTCAACAGGCTGAGGCTCTATCCACTGAGCCAAACTGGTTAGGGCTAGACATTTTTATATGAGTCACTTTTTGGGTATATGCAATCATTTCTCTTGGGTATAAACCTAGGAATAGAATTGCTGGGTCAAAGGGTAGGTGTGTTTAACTATTAGAGATTGACAAGTTTCCCAAAGTGGCTGTACCATTTTATATTCCTAACAGCAATGTATGAGGGTTTTGGTACTTCACATTCTCATCATCACTTGGTATTGCCAGTCTTTTCTATTTTAATCATTAGATGGGTGTAGTAGTACTTCCTGGTTTTCATTTGTATTCTCCTGGCAAGTAGTGATATTGAGCATCTTTTCATAGGCTTATTGCTCATTTGGATAACTTCTTTTGTGCAGAATCATTTTTTTACCCCATTTTAAAATTGGGATATATATATTATGATACGAGTTCTTTGACAGATGTTTGTCATATCCCAACAGAATCTTGAATTAGTTAATGCTCAATACCCAATAAATGAATAAATGAGGCTCTGTGGAGAGTGGCTACAGTGTTTGGACAGGTTCAAGCCTCGTACTAATGAGAGGGCACAGTCCTCTCATTGCCACGTGCAAGTCCCAGAGTGGAGGGCAGAGCCCTCCCAGCACAATTATAGCCAACAGCTATAGCTGTAAGCTTGAACCTATGGTCCGAACACGTGGCCCCATGTGCCTGAGTGATGTGGGCTTGATAGAGTTCAGGTGCATGTAGTTGAGTAGGATCGAAACCCATGAGAATGTTATAAACATCTTGACCACGCCCTTACATTGCCTCATGGAATCTGGCTATAAAATAAAGACACGGCTTGTAGTCCGTGGCGCTGTCTCTCCATCTGGGAGCAGCGTCCCACCCAGACCCAGCTTTTATTCTCTTGTCTGTCTTTTCTCCATCCTTCACCGCCCCCTCTCAGGGTCACTGAACCTGGCTGAGCTGGCATGGCACATAAGGCGCCCTGGGGCTGAGTATGCCATGGCCGTGCCAGCTTGCCACAGGCTCATTCATTGCAATGGGACTAAAAGACTGGGACCTGGAATTATCTTTCAGACTGACACTTTAAAAAAAAAATCTTCACCTGAGGACATGCTTATTGATTTTAGAGAGGGGGAGGGGAGAGAGAGAGAGAGAAACATAGATCTGAGAGAACCATTGAGATGGGTTACACCTCCCGAGGGTTCCCCACTGGGGATCAAACCAGCAGCAACCCAGTCTGTGACCTGACCAGGAATGGAACAATCCAACCCACAACCTTTTGGTGCAACTAAGTCACACCAGCTAGGGCAGACTGACACAATTTTAAGAAATACACTTATGCAGAGAGAAAAGCACTTCTCATATCAAAGTTAATAATACAATAATACACTTTCAGAGCTGAAAAAGCTCGTGTACACCAACCACCAGTGGAGGTTATGTCCCTTTATGGCCAATGTCACCCCTCCTATTTAAGCTGAGACCACAGCTGGAAGAAAAGCTACCAGGCGTTAGTAACCAACGTGTGCGTTAATGTGTGGTTCCTCCAGCTGCCCTCTAACCTCAAGAGGAAAAAGCAGCTTGGGAACCCAACACTAAAACACGTATCACGGTTCATCTTGTTTCTTTTCTTCATCCCCTCCATCCGGCCGATAACCAGGCATTCGAGTCGGTGGGGGGACCCAGTCCGGGTCAAGGGCGCCGCCAGCTCTGGCCCATTCCCAAGACCTTGAAGGGACACCGGGTCAGGGCAGGGCTGGCTTCCTTGCCCTCGCCGCTACCGCCTCCCTGCGATTGGCTGAGCGGGGACGTCGCCGACTATGCCAGACGCCGATTGGCCGGGCGACAGCGGCCGCCGAGCCCCAGGCACCCGGGAGGGCCAACGAGGTCCTCGCGGAGGACAGGGCAGCGGCCGCCAAGCAGCCGCGAGCCTACGTGCTGCGCTGCGACGTTCCCGCGGTCTGGCTCGAACCCTCAACTCCGGTCCCCGGTTTGCCACCCGATCCAACGGGCTCCGGTCTAATCCTCACCCCCTCTCCCCCCCGGGCGGCGCCGCTGGCCCCGCTCACGGCCGCGGCCCCGTCCAGTCCCCGCCACCGCCTTTCCTCGCCAGCGCCTTACCTAGATGTAGTCAGCACCCTCCCTACCGCCCTCGGTGCGGAAAGGCGCCCGAACCGCTTTACCTGCACGACCCTGCTAGCGGACGCCATCTTGCTGCCCATCACGACCCCGAGAAGGGGCAGCTTCCGGGGCGCTCGAGCCGCGGCGACAACCGGAGTCCCGGGCAGCCGGGGGCGGGCCCTTTATGTGGCGTCACGGAGGCGGGGCGAGCGGGCGGGACCCTCCTCCCTCGTCCCGCCGGGAACACGTGTTTCCCATCGCCTCGTTTTGCAGACGAAGGTTTGTCATGTTGGGGTTATTTTGATCGTTAGCCGTGAGTGATCTAGGACCCTTTCCGCCCCCGAAAGCCAGTTTCTAATTTCAGTACAGAGTTTAATCCAGTTATTCATCCAATTATTTCTCTGAGTTGGCGTTTAAGAGGGAACACACAGGATAATCGAATCCCAGGAAAAATGCAGTTTTTCAGATGATACTGATAATCTGCTCATTTGGGAATCACTAATATAGTGTGCATCTGATTCATTTAATGCTGTATTTTGGGGTCAGGAAGACATTTTACAGCAACTAAGTCACACCAGCTAGGGCAGACTGACACAATTTTAAGAAATACACTTATGCAAAGAGAAAAGCACTTCTCATATCAAAGTTAATAATACAGTAATACACCTTCAGAGTTGAAAAATGTTACTAACGTTGTAGCCCCACCCATAACAAAGAAACAGAATTTCCGGAGGATGAGGCCCAGAAATCAGGATTTTAACAAGATTCCCAGGTGATTCTAATGTGCAGCCAAGGTTGAGAACCACTGTTTTACAGAATGCTTTTTTTCTTAATGATAGAAACAAGTTCTTTTTTAAAGTGTTTTTATTGATTTCAGAGAGGAAGAGGGAGATAGAAACATCAATGATGAGATAGAATCATTGATTGAATGGCCTCCTGCACACCCCCTACTGGGGATGGAGCCAGTAACCTGGGCATGTGGTTTAATGTGTGGTTCCTCTAGCTGCCATCTAAACTCAAGAGGAAAAAAGAGCTTTGGGAAACCAACACTAAAACATGTATTACAGTTAATGTTTTTTTTTTTTAATATATTTTTATTGATTTTTTACAGAGAGGAAGGGAGAGAGATAGTCAGAAACATCGATGAGAGAGAAACATCGATCAGCTGCCTCCTGCACACCTCCCACTGGGGATGTGCCCGCAACCCAGGTACATGCCCTTGACCGGAATTGAACCCGGGACCCTTCGGTCCGCAGGCCGACGCTCTATCCACTGAGCCAAACCGGTTTCGGCAATGTTTATTTTTTTTTAGTTCCCTCCCATCCGGCCTATAACCAAAATCGAACCTGGGACCATGCAGTCCGCAGGCCTTCGCTTTATCCACAGAGCCAAACCGGATAGGGACAGAGTCGTCTTTTTTTTTATTTTTAATTTGTTTATTGATTTCAGAAAGGAAGACAGAAGGAGACAGAAACATCAATGATGAGAATCACTGATCAGCTGCCTCCTGCACGTCCCTTACTAGGGATCCAGTGGAAACCCAGGCATCTGCCCTGACTCATTGGCCCATGCTCAACTACTGAGCAACACCAGCTGGGCCAGAATGTTTTTCTAGAAGAAAAATAGTTTTACAATTTATGTTGACAATTTTTGCTGTGGCAAAAAGAACAAAATTACAAATAAATGATTTATCAAAAGAAATGAAGTCACACTATAAATATTCCAAAGAAGTGTTTAGTGCACATGTAGGCAAATCTCTGCATTTTTACTGATCCGAAGAACAGATTTCAAAAGCTATTACACCTGCAGAGCGTCTTCTCAAGTTGTTTAGTCTTTTAAAGAATGCTGGAAACACTACATGGTCTATAAAAATGATCAACTGCTCCAAATTAATAAAGGGCTCAAATTAGAATTTACAAAAGATGGAATGGGATGAATAAACAGTGGCAGTTTTGTTTTCTAATTGAAAAGCAAAATTTGTGGTTTTTTTTTGTTTTTTTAATCTATAAAAGTTATGCATGGGGGGAAAAAGGAGACATATGTAATACTCTTTGTAATATTTTAAGCAGTAAAAAAAAATTAAAAAAAAGTTATGCATGATAAATACAAAAGAAAAAAGTCACAATTCTTCTAAATATGTTTTTCTTCAAGGCTGAGGTGCATTTAAGTCTCTTTAAAGATGTAGATGGGGTGGGGAATTGAGATGTTGGTCAAAGGGTACAAATTCATAGGTAGAATTTGAGTAAGTTTTGGATATATAATGCATAACTCTGTGATTATAGTTAACACTACTGTATTATATATTTCAAGGTTGCTAAGATACTAGATCCTAAATGTTTTCAACAAAAATAATTATGTGACACGATGGAGATGTTAGCTAAAGCCATGGTCAATTCAACATACTGTACACCTTAAACTTATACAACATTATGTATCAATTATATCACAATAAAAAAAAGTTTGTAGCGAGATAAATCTAAAATAAGAATTATTTGAATAAAATACAACTGGCAGCCATAAAAATAAAGATGTGGATATACTTTTCTAATTTTTCTAGTATTTTGGTTGACAAAGAAATGCATGAAGGTATTCCAAATGAGAGTTGGGACTTCTAGGGATGTAGAAAAAATGTCCACACTGAGCGGAAAGCTGGATTAGATGATGTCTTTCCAGACCTTTGCAAAGCTAAGATCTTCAGATTTTTTTCAAGGATGCCAGTCACTTTAATGATCATATTTAAAGCAATAGATTCCATATCATAGTGTTAAGCTTTAAAAAAAAGCTGTGTATAATAGTCATAAAAACACCGAAAAAAACACATTTCACCTGAAATTTACTATTTAAATGGCATCAAAGACAGAAACAAGTAATGCCAAAACAGAATTCTTATTAGATCATGGTGAGATTCTTCTCAAGCTGCAGAACAGTTTCCTTTAAGGCAGAATCCTCTGCCCAATTGACTTTACTCCCCAAAATGAGGTTCTGTAATACAAAAAAAATTTTTTTTAAATTAAAGTTTTAAGCATTTTTTAACTTTATTTTTATTGTTGACAGTTACAGATGTCCCTATTTCTCCCCAATTTACCCACCTCCACCCATCCCATGCCCTCCTCATTCCCTCTGGCCATCACCACACTGCTGTCTATGTCTATGGTTATGTATATACTAGTAGCCCTGCGCACGAATCCATGTGCCAGTAGCTCCCTGCCGCCTTCCAGTAGCTCTCCGCCTGCTGCCCCAGCCTCGCTGCTACCCTCCTGTAGCTCTCCACCACCCCACCTTCCTGCTGATCTGTGATGCAGTCGTTATGCAGTCGGCTGTTATGCTTCATGGCATAATGACCATTTGCATATTACATCTTTATTATATAGGATAGTCTTTGTACTTTTAAAATTTTAACAAGCTTTGCCCAGCTGGTATAGCTAAGTGGTTGAGCACTGACCCATGAATGACCTATGAACCAGGAAGTCAGGGTTCGATTCCCGATTATGGCACATGCCTGGATTTCGGGCTCCATCCCTGTGGAGGTGTGTAGGAGGGAGCCAATCAGTGATTCTCTCTCATCATTGATGTTTCTAACTCTCCTCTCCCTTCCTCTTTCTGAAATCATAAAAAAATATTTTTAAAAATTTAACAAGCTTTTAAAAAAATCCTCTTTCACTGACCTTATTACATAATTACCAAACTGGGTATGAAAATTTACTCTCTGATCATGAGAAAAACTAGTAATAAATTTTGTGATTTTTTTTTTTTTTTTTTTTTTTTTACTTCAGAGTGAGAGGTGGGGAGCGAGAAACACTGATGTGTGAGTGGAACATTGATCAGCTGCCTCCTGCAGGACTCCTACCAGGGGTCAAGCCAAAACCTGGGCACGGGTCCTACCTGGGAATCGAACTAGCAACCTTTTTCATGCATGGGACCATGCCCAACCAACTGAGCCACCCCCAGGGCAAGTAATACATTCTTGTATCCTCATTTCCACTTTCAGCAAGGCTTCAACCTTGATTCCCATAATGCCAGGAGAATTTACAATGCTAACAATTTTTATGCTTTATCCATTTTTGTGGGTAGTTTTACATATTAAAGATACTTGCAATGGCAGCCTACATTATGGGGAAAAGATAACAGCTGTTATCTTTCTGGGCCTCATCCTCCAGAAATTCTGTTTCTTTGTTACTAATGTTGTGGCCCCACCCCATAACAAAGAAACAGATTTCCAGAGGATGAGGCCCAGAAATCAGGATTTTAAAAAGATTCCCAGGTGATTCTAATGTGCAGCCAAGGTTGAGAACCACTGTTCTAGGACGAACAACAATTTAAGCCTAAGTAATATGTCGTATTTTTAAAAAGAGGTACAAGAAGAGCTTAGTTCTTAGTCCTTGCAAAGTTTCAAGACCCTGAAAAAGGTGAAGAACATTTTCTTGTGGTAGACAATGGAGGAATGATTAAGGTCATAATTAATGAAAATTCTGGTCATTATTCTTTGAAAACCCATAGCTCAATGATACTGAGTTACTAATTGAAATATTGTTAAAATCAATTTTAAAGAATAAGTGGTAGCCCTAACCGGTTTGGCTCAGTGGATAGAGCGTTGGCCTGCGGACTCAAGGGTTCAGGGTTCGATTCCGGTCAAGGGCATGTACCTTGGTTGTGGGCACATCCCCAGTGGGGAGTGTGCAGGAGGCAGCTGATCAGTGTTTCTCTCTCATAGATGTTTCTGACTCTCTATCCCTCTCCCTTCCTCTCTGTAAAAAATCAATAAAATATATTTTAAAAAAAAGAATAAGTGGTATATTATTACATATAAAAATATATAAAACTTTGGCCTATATAAGGCAAATTCTTGCTACAAATGAATAAAAGAGCTTGTGTATATAAATTCAGTCAAATTTACTAAGGCAGATGGAAGTAAGCTTTCAAATATGACAACCCCCGAAAGCTGATCTTCCTTTTGGAACAAAGAGAGCTCCCAAGTTAGTCAAATCTATGTTCTATTAAACATTGCAATGAATTCATTAAACCAAGATTAACACCAATTTTGAGAATATAAAAATTAAGAAATGCAGAATAACGGAAGTCGCAAAGCAGTAGGAAGGAATATGTGCCAAAGAAAATGAAAATGATTCTTTACTTATGCAATCTTCTACTTGAGGTTAGCCTAAGGCAGTGGTCGGCAAACTGAGGCTCGCGAGCCACATGTGGCTCTTTGGCCCCTTGAGTGTGGCTTTTCTACAAAATACCACATCCGGGCGCGCATGTACAGTGCGATCGAAACTTCATGGCCCATGCGCAGAAGTCGGTATTTTGTGGAAGAGCCACACTCAAGGGGCCAAAGAGCCACATGTGGCTCGCGAGCCGCGGTTTGCCGACCACTGACCTAAGGGATTTGATTATTTCTAATAGAATCATCCACTGCAACTAAAAAGTAGGTGTAAGACCTGGGGAAGAACCCTAGCAGGTTTGGTTCAGTGGGTAGAATGTTAGCCTGTGGACTGAAGAGCCCCGAGTTCAATTCTGGTCAAGGGCATGTACCTTGGTTGCAGGCTCAATCCCTGGCCCTGATCAAGGTGTGCGTGGGAGGCAACCAATCGGTGTGTCTCTCTGTCTCTCCCCATCCCTTCCATTCTCTCTAAAAATCAATGGAAAAATAGCCTCTGGTGAGGGTTAACCAAAAAAAAAAAAAAAGACCTGGGGAAGAATTTCTTATGGTGAGACATTAAAACCTCATTTTCTACAAGGACATGCTTTACACATAATATGCACTTGTTTCACATATAATAGTTTAAACTATGCATCTTCATAATTCAAAACTGGTAATTTATGTATTTCAACAGTTTCAGAGACATTTTATAATTCAAAAAGTAGTTTAAAAAACCCCTCCAGAATAAAGAAATAGGACACTTACGATTTAAAACTTGACATGATAACAAGTACCTACATTTATTAACATGAATGTGTTTAGTTTTCACAACCACTCTTTCTAAACAAGGACACTGATGCTTAGAAGTTAGTCATTTGTTCAAGGTCAGCAACTATTCAGTAGCAGTCAGGATCTTAACTCTAGATTCCCATCAGCCCATCCATATTTCCCCCAATCCCCAACTTGCAGTCTAGTGCTCACCATCATTATATCATTCTGCCTCCACAGAGCTGCTAAAAATCATTCCATTTAAATTGCCATAATGAAAAATCAAAGACTTAAACATTAAATATACACGGATTCCAGATATATGTAAACAGACTAATTTTCAGTACAGAATTTTTTTGTTTTGTTAATTCTACTGTGAGGATATTTTTTCCATTGATTTTACTTTATTGTTTAGAGAGAGTTTGGAAAGGAGGGAGGGTGGGGAAAAAAGAGAGAGAGAGAGAGAGAGAGAGAGAGAGACAAAGATGTGCATGCAATCCAGGTATGAGCCCTTGACCAGGAATCAGCCTGAGATCCTTCAGTGCACGGGCAGATGTCTATCCATTGAGCAACACCGGCCAGGGCAGTACGGAATTATTTTGTCAAGATCAAAAACTAACTGTAAGTAAGTCTGAAAGTAACAGAATCAATCATTTTTTTTTAAAGTTCTTTACCTCCCTTCCTAGTTTATATACACTTTACCTGGAAGACATGTTGAATAACTGTAGTAATTTGTATTTCCTTCTGTAGTTTTTGTTGTAAGGTCTTTATCTTGTCTGAATTTTCCATACTGGCCAAAGCATCTTTCTCTTTGTTCTTTTCAGTCTGTATTTCTAAAAATTTACTTTCTGAAGCTCGTTTTAATTCTGTGAGGTTAAAAATAAAACAATATACTATATATGACAACTCCTACAAACGAGAATCTTTAAAAATTATGGTTCTTTCAATAAAGAAAATTTTTTTTAATAAGGAGCATTTTAGGTTGCAGTCTATTTTGATCTGAATATGACTTCCCTGGTATAAAATACCAATATTTTAATTTTATATTTAGCAATGCAAATGTTCAAGGTTTGTATGTATGATAATAGCTGTTGACAAGTGTTTGAAGTGATATTGTATCAAAGAGGAGCTACTCTGGGTACCCAAATAGGCAGGAGATTATATATATATATATGTATATATATATATATATATATGCAAATAGTTTTCCTCCTTCATTTTCAAAATGACATATCACCAAGAAAAATTTTCAATGAAAAGTAAGGTTCCCTTCACCAACCATTTTTGTAGTTCCTGGTATGTTCTAAGAATTAAACTATTTGAAAACATAAATGGCATGCCGCGGAAACTTGACATTAATGTATCAAAAGTAGGCTGGAATGCAATGGAAAATATTAGGCATCCAAAGGGTAATTAGAACTGCTGACCAAGACTATTTCTGACGCTGGCATTACTTATAATCAGGCAAATCTGTATATTTAAAAATAATGAATCATGCCTACACTGTTAAATGAAAAAAAGCATTGTACAACACAGAATAAAGTGATACCAATTTTTCTAAAAAAAATAAGCACTGAAGACTGATTATTTCTTGATGGTAAAATAAATTTAACTTTTCCTATGTATACTTTTCTGTTTCCAAATTTTCTACAGAGAATGTGTACTACTTTTGAAATATTTCAGTAATTTTAATGCAAAAAGCCATCTAATGTTAAAAAGTTAAAGAGCCATATGTATTAATCGACCATTTAAAAATGGCGTATAAAAAAAAAAATAAAAAATAAAAAAAAATAAATAAAAATGGCGTATAAATATGTCTAACTGTGATCGCACATGAAGGAGGCCATGCCTTTCCCATGATACTTTTCTGTATCATTTGATCCCCCCTCCTGAGTTTATTAATTTCATGATTTAATGTTCTAAACAACAAAAATATATCAAGCAAAATACATTTTATGTACTACTTTTAAAATTGCCACATCTAGCCCTAGCTGATTTGGTTCAGTGGATAGAGCGTCGGCCTGTGGACCGAAGGGTCCCAGGTTCCATTCACTGATGTTTCTATCTCTCTCTCTCTCTCCCTTTCTCTCTGAAATCAATAAAAATATGTATATTTTAAAATTGCCACATCTAAAATTTTAGGAAAATTTAAAATTATTAAGAAATGTCTCAGTAGCTGAGAGATATGGCCTCATCAATCTCCATAGTAAGTAAAAATGTGTTATACAAAAAACAAACAAACCACCAAAACTGTTCTACATACCAAATCTCTTCTTTTTAACATTGAGCAGTTTTTCCTCCAAATCCCAAGATTCCTGTTAATAGAAATAAAAAAATTAAGGGACATTACCTAAGAACAAACCTGTAATACTTACATCACTGAATTTTATCTTAGTTCATGTTTTCTAAAACTCCAGTTATTAATTCCTTCATTTCCACACATCAAGAGAGGAGACAGTAACTTAAATTATAAACACTTAGCAATATTAGTGAAAAATAATAGAGTTATAAAAAGAGAGAGAAAACTTAAGGACAGTGAATTTCAACTATACCAGTCCCTTTGAGCAATTCTATTTAATCATACATAATACAGTTACCAGCAAGAAAGTGTTACTGAAATCATGAGAATGCATTAGCAGCCTAAAGTTACCTGCTGTAATTTCATTATTATTTTATTTAGCTTTAATATGTGTTTCATGTTGTCCATGAGCTCACTGAAAAGGAATAAAAAAATAGATTAACCTTAGTTAAAATAAATCTCATTAATGAAGGAATCAAGTAGTACATATTTACTTTTATTAATACATTTCATAGAAAGTCATCACTTGATGTAAACTAAATTTTTGTTTAAAAGTAGAGATGCAGCCCTAGCTGGTTTGGCTCAGTGGATAGAGCATCGGCCTACAGACTGAAGGGTGCCAGGTTCGATTCTGGCCAAGGGCACATGCCCAGGTTGCGGGCTTGATCCCCAATGGGGGATTTGCAGGAGGCAGCTGATCAAAGATTCTCTCTCATCATTGATGTTTCTATCTCTCTTCCCCTTTCTTGACTCTCTAAAATCAATAAAAATTTTTAAAAAAATTTTAAAGTAGAGATGCATTTTCCTAGAAAAAAGTTTGGTCATAGACAATAAAAAATATCAAATTTAAGCATGTAAGAACATTTCTAAAAATGTCATTTTTAGGGAGAAAAAAATTCCAAAAACTTGCTCATAAGTTGCTTTTTGTAAAAAAAACACACAACTTTATTTTACTTTTTGTTAATCCCCACCTAGGACTATTTTTTTCTATTGATTTTTATAGAGAGAGTGGAAGGGAATGCTGTACATTTTATGGGTTTGACAAATATATAATGACATGACTCCACCACTACAGTATCATACAAAATAGTTCACTGAATCAGCTGCTTTTTATCCCCATTTCTTCAACGAATATTTCTGAGTGCTTACAACATACCAAGAGCTGTGCCAGGCTCCAGGGATGTAAAAAAGAATAAAACACAATACCTGTTTTCAAAGAGGAAAGAACCTGGTGCGGGGAGAAAAATAAATGTACAACCGTAGTACGGTTTCACTACAACCAGTAATGGATATGAATCACTGTAAGAATTGCGCAGAGTGAAGCAAGGGATATGAATCTTAAAGGACAAGAAGTAATTTAAGTCAAGTAGTTTGGAATGGCTAGAGCCAAAGGTGTGAAAAACAGTTTTACTTCAAAGTGCCACAACCCCTTGAGAGGCTTGTTAAATGTAGACTGCCAGCTGCTCTCCCCACCAACTCCCACCCACCCCCACACCTTGGTTTTTAGATTCAGAGTCAGTAGGTTTGCGATGGGACCAGCAGTGTGATCACTGTGAAAGTGTAGTGCGGAGGCTGAAAAAGGAATGTTTACAGAGATGTGGAAGATTTTCTACTGGTTATAGCTATGCTTGATTTTAAAATTTATGATGAATCTGTCCTGTGCCCCTTTAACTCAAGAATTGTTTTTAACACATTGCGGGCCAGTAGTTTTATTGCTAACTTTACCCAGTGGCCAAATAAGTTTCTATTTGAACGAGTACAAAAAATGTTTTACATAAATGTTAAAGGCACGCCTTAAAATAAAATACCCATTGCATTTTGAAGTTATTTATTACATGTTCTTACAAGTTAATGTCTTTTTAAAGTATGATACTTTCTAAAACACTGTGTAATATGAAAACATGAGAATCCTTGTGATCCGTCCGCAATATATAGGGTGTAACGTCACAGGAAGGTCATAGCATCCTGCCACCAGTGAGGAGTAAGCACAAGTTGCTTTTGGATGTGTTATACACAGAGGACCCATTCTTCAGGCGCTCTGCTCTCTTCACACCCAAGGAATGTTTTAAGCTCATTTATGGGGAGCAATAGTTAATGAGCTCAAATTCAGATTTTAGGATTTATGTAACCCTGGATTTAAATGGAATAGAGGAGAATGTGTATGAGTCTGAACTAAGATAGGAGAAGTACCCAGATCCATCTTAGTATTTTTCTACTCTCATGGGAGGGGATTTTACATAAAAAATTTTTAGACCTTTGGGAGATAAGATCACAGGTAAGGCTCCTAAGGCAAGATATTTAGAACCAGATTATAGAGGACCTTGATTGCCAGAGTCTTATGGTATATTCCTTGGCAAATTTATATATACAAGCTCATTTCTGCCAATGAAAAATAAAGAGTATACTTTCTATCTATCATTGGGGTGTTGTTGGATTAAATGAAATAGCATTGTTCCTGATTTTCAGTAAATAGTGCAGAAAATTAACTTTCAAACCTTCCTTCAAAATAATCTGGTTAAAACCTAAATTGCTTCTTAGCATTGCATTATGAACAAGATGTCAGCAGGACTATAAAAGTTGTTGTAATGCTGAGTGAGGAAAGTCCACAAAAATTCCATCACTTTTCCTATTCCCCAGATAAAAGTGGTTGGCAGTGATAGTTAATTTTTTAAAAAATCATGAGCCCTGGCTGGTGTGGTTCAGTTGGTTGGAGCATTGACCTATAGACTGAAAGGTCAAGTGTTCGATTCCAGGTCAGGTTGCATATGGGAGGCAACCAATCAGTATTTCTCTCTCTCTCCCCCTCTCCCTTCCTTTCTCTCTAAAATCAATTTTAAATCAAGAAACCAAAGTCAATATGCAGATACCCCTTCTTATTCCCATCCTTACCAAATACAGGAAAAAAAATAAGTACCTAGTCTGAATGTTACTCTCCTCCAGGTTTTTTCTAAGTGCCCTTGAAAGTTGCATCCTATGAGAGAGGAAAAGCTTACATTACAAAACATAGATAACATTTATGGTACACTGAAAAGAAAATTTTAAAATGTGACAAGTTAAAGATTGATTTCTGTTCAAATATAATATAAAACATAAGTAGATTTAAAACAGTGTTGTATGGGAAATACTTGGTAAATAAATCACAGAAATATGAAACAACACTAAGACGGATGGGATTGTTGCATGTGGTTGTGCACTGACAGGCTGAGGGACTGAGTAATCCAGCCTGAGCTTTGTTCCCCAAGCCATCCACCTTGGTGCCAGGAGGAAGCAACACAGCATTAAGGCACTACAGAGAGCAACAGGGCCTGAGATGGAGAGTTAGGGAATACAAGGCCACACTGAACTGTGAACTTGACATATGCCTACATACCAACAAGCTCCATAAATCACCTTCAAATTCAAACAGCTAATAATTAAGTAAAAATAAAAAGGCAATCAGCTCAGCAATATTAGAGCCCTTCCCTTCTGTCACACACAAGAAAATTCAGTTCACTAAAAGGAGATCTCTTAAAACCTCTGAAGTCACCTTAGTTAAAAAATATGATCTATATAACAAGCCAGCATATGAGAGGAGGGGAAAAGCTCACTGTTAGAAACAAAAGTGCTTTAACTACTTTTCAATGAAACATATAAAGAAATTCATCTGAGAAGGCCAGAAATATAAGATAGTAATTTTAAAAGTCATTCACTTAATTGAGATTAGTCAGATCACAAAATCTGTAAGAAACTATGTTTATTTTACTAACAATGGTATACCAACACCTAGTGTAAAGCTTAGGACATAACAAGCACTCACATATTTGTTGAATAATTTTAAATATAGATGCAAAACTTATAGTTAAAAATATACTTTATTTAAACTTGATGACAATTCTTTTACTCAATGAACAGTTACTGGAATAATCAAATCCATGTAATCCTTTCAACACTGAATGGGATTTAACCTCACATTTCTATTGCCTTGATTGATATTTCCTTATTAACCCTCTATTATGTAACTTCTTCAAATGAAGATGCTAATGAATGATGTAACGTCTCTCAAGGATCAAAATTTGTGTGACCATTATCTAATCATCATTTTGCTCATTTAAAGTAAATTATTTTCTCCACCTTGAGCCATTTTGCATTCAGTTCACAATGCTTATACCCTAAATGTAAAAATTACCTGTCCAATGCAAGCTTTTTCATTTCAAAAGCAATTTTCACCTCTTCGATTTCATTTTCCAGGTCTTCAATTTTACTATCAAAGAAGCATAAACAAACGAATTTCAGCAATATCAAAAAAGTCATTATTGGAATAAATGTTAAAGTAAACCTTTGAAAAAAGTAAAATGCCTCTATCTAAAAAAAGTATTCTATAGACTCGCCACACCAATACACTTACAGATTTGGTAAACTCTTGAAATACTGATAAATATCTTGTTAAGGGGGAATGCCAAAGTGCTAATAGGATTACATCCTGTGTCAACAAATTCTCAATACATGCATGACAAATTACTTGGGGAAAAAAGGTGGGGGGGAGCAAAGTTAGAAGATAGATATTATTATTAAATATTAGTAAAAACCACAAATAAAGTTACGTTTCAATTTGCTTTTCTGGAATGATTTCTTCTGGAGTTTTTTCTTCATCTACAAATAAATAATTTTTTGAAGTTAGTAACATTTTAGAACAGTGCTGTCCAGAAATATAATGTAAGCCACAAATACAAACCGAGTATGTAATTTTTATTTTCTAGTTTCCACATTACAAAAGTAAAGAAACAAATAAAAATAATTTTAATATACCTTACTTAACCGAATAGATGCAAAATAGTATCATTTCAACATGCAGTCATTTTAAAATTACTAATGAAATATCTCACAAGCTTTTCTTCTGTGCTTATTTTACATTTATAGCCCTTCTCAATGAGGACTAAACACATTACAAGTGTTCAGCAGTCACAGAGCAGGTGCCTACCATATTGGACAGAACAACGTTAGAATTATAGAAAATAAAAGGGAGTAAAAAATGAACAAGAGCAATATTAAAAATTAACTGTATGTTTGTACAAATTAAAATTTTAAAATATCATGGACAATTATATTAAAAAACATGAAATACTTAAGAATCAATTTAACAAAATATGTGTATGACCTCTACACTGAACAATACCAAATATTTTAATGGAAAGATATACCATGTACATGTACTGGGAGAATCAATATTGCTAATGTAGCAATTTCCCCCATATTGATCTAAAGATACTAATAAAATCCCAGTTAAAATTCTATCAATTTAGCCCTGGCCAGTGTTGCTCAATTGGTTGAGCACTGTCCCATGCATGGAGAGGTCACCTGTTCCATTCCTGGTCTGGGCACATGCTCAGGTTTCAGGCAACCAATCGATGTTTCTCTCTAGCTCTCAAATCAATAAACACTTATTTTAAAAAAATCCCAATTATCCAGTGCTTTTCAAAGTGTAGGTCTCAATAAAAAGCAACAAAAAACAAAGTATAGGTCTCAGAGCACTTGCTTCATAATTATCTGATCTGCTAGTTCAATCTTCAGGTTGTTGATGGTATAGCAAATTCTACGATTCCTTAAGCCCACCGGGATTTCTCAATTCCCTGATCAACAGAACTTAACTGCCTTGTGCATTGTTATTTAATTGTTTAATATCTATTTCCCGAATCCCTAACTAATTCCGATGGGCAGGGCAAGCTGCTTTTTGCCTTCTTACATGGAATAGTATAGCATTATTATGTCACTCCTATTCCCCAAGTAAATAATTTTTTGTAAAGTTTATTTTATTTTCACTAGAGTAGTGCTCATTATCAAATTAACAAAACCTTATCTGAAAATGCAAATACTTACTTGCATCAACCATTGATTTATATTCCAAGAGTTGTTGTTTTGTCTGTGCCCTCAGCCTGAAAACAGATAAAAAAAAAAAAAGAGAGAAAATCATATATTTATTGAGGTTCTACTCATTACTGTATGATAAAGCAACTCATTTTTGGGGAGTTAATGCAACAAAATAAATATAAATAAACTCAGCATTAAAGTCTTCTAGTTTGGCCTCATTTTATTTAAAATGGCATACAGAACTTTAGGGCCTCAGAGAAAAAAAACCAAAATGGAATACAGTGGAAAACAGCACCTGTGAGGAAAAGTTAAAAATTTGATATTTAAATTTTTTTCACTTTATTAAATTTATTGGGGTGACATTGGTTAATAAAATTATATAGGTTTCAGGTGTACAATTCTAGAATGCATCATCTGTATTCTTTATTTTTTTTTAATTCATATTTTTGGTTAATCCTTATCTGAGGATATGTTTCCATTGATTTTTAGAGAGAGTGGAAGGGAGGGGGAGAGAGAGAGAGAGAGAAACATCAATGTGAAAGAGACACCGATTGGTTGCCTCCCCCACATCCCCAACCAGGGCAGAAATGGAGTCTGCAACCGAGGTATGTGCCCTTGATGGGAATCTAATCCATTGAGCCAAACTGGCTGGGCTTAATTTATTCTTAATGGGCCACAGTGAAGTGAGTGTTAATGAGTACTGCTACACTAAGAACTAGATCAAAACGGGGAAATCACAAACACTAATGAGTTACTACCAGATTGTAACATGCTCGGGAGATCCAGAAAAATAACAGGAATACTAATCTTTGAATAGGTAAGTAATTCAAAGTTTCTTATCTGGATTCTACCTAATTCAAAATCATACATAAAGTTAAGTAGAAAAGCTATGGGTAAATGGGAATTAGCTATTAAGTTGTACTTACAAGACGTTTCACACTTCATAGTAGTTTCATAAATCTGAAACTGTTGCTTTGTCTTTGAATCACAAAGAAGCTAAGAAATATTAGACAACTTCCTAAAGCTTCATGCACAGTACCTTGTTTCAAAATTCCAAATGAAAAGAGCAGTTTATTAGATGTTAATCAGGCTGGCGTTTCTAAGACACACTGAAAGGATCGTTCCTTTTTAGCTGAGATGGGAAAGCTCTTATGTCTTTAATGTTTTAGCATTTTACATGGCAAGTAGGAAGGAATTTTTAAAGTGAGCTTTATTAGCCAAAGCCTTTCAAAGCAGTGGTGAACCTGAAAAAGTCACAGTGCTTATTTTTAAAAACCCGCTTGTTATAATTTAGAAGAGTCTGCCACCTTCTTTTGTAAAGGACCAAGGAGCAAATATTTCAGGCTTCCTGAGCCATATGGTCTCTGTTGTAAGTACTCTACTCAGCCCTTGTAGCAGGAAAGCTATATTCCAATAAATACTTTACTTAAGTTGGGGCAATAAAATTTGAATCCCATTTAATTTTCATGTTATTAAATATTCTTCTTGTAATTTCTCCCTCAACCCTTAAAGACATAAAAACTACTCTTAGCTGGAGGGTTGTCACACAAAAACAGGCAGTAAGGTGGACTTGGCTGTGGTCTGCCCACTAGTTTAGAGGACTGATGTCCCTTCTCATCACATCTTCTTAGAAGATTGATGTCCTTTCTCATCACATCTTCCCCTAATGACGGCGTAGTGGAAAGGTATACACATCACCCTGGTGGCCAGGCCTGCGCGGCTCAACTGGACGAACTTCGCGGAAGGCTGCGGTCGGGGCACAGACCCAGGTTGCAGGTTGGATCCCGGGTACCGGGTAGAGGTGCCTGCGGGAGGCAACCAACGGATGTTTTTCTCTCTCACATCAATGTTTTTTATCTCTCTCTCCTTCTCACTCCCTCTCTAAAAATCAATAAAAACATTTTTTTTTAAAAAAAAAACGTTAAACGATCAATGTTAAAGTATATTAAAAACGTCACCCTGTTGGCAGAAAATACAAATGAAGCTTGTGGATCGAAAGGCTCATAGCTATAAAGGGGCGGGACAACCCACGTCCAGCAGCTCAGGGCTTGGGCGCACCCCACAGCCCTCTGAAAACCGGGGCACCCAGGGTGAGGGGATGAGAAAGGGAGGGGAATGACAGCTTCGAGGGCTCTCGGGCCGACTTCTCACTTAACCCCTTTAGCAACCGCGATCGGAGGTGTCATTTCTTTCCGCTCCTTTTCCAAGACGAAGAACAGGGTTTACGGGGCTTAATCTAACGACGCTGTCACGCAGCCCACCAGGGACCAAGCCTGAATTTGAAATATTCTGGCCATTTAGCGCGGAAGGCGGAGCTCTCGGTGCGCCGGCACCGGTCCGGCCCAGCGGGCCAGCGGGAACAACCTGAGCAGCAGCGGTATGGGGTCCTCCGCGGGGCCCGCGGGCTCGGCGGCGCCCGGCTCCTCGGGCTGCGGCTCCATCCCGGCTCGCGCGAACACCTTCCCCGCAGACGCCGTCGGAAGGGGCCCCGTTTCCCGCCACCAAACTGACGCCCGGAAGGGGACGCAGCGCCGGCGCGTCTCGTCCCGCCCCTTCCGCCCTAAGGCCCGCCGCTTCCGGCTCGTCTTTTGGCGGCCACAGTTGCCGCTGTCCCTTTCATCCAGGCTCTACCTCTAGTTTGAAATCGACACCAACCACTAGTACAAAAAGTTCCGGAACTTTACTTGTCCGCTCTCCCGAGGGCCGGGCCAGAGGCGGGGCTGTAGCATTTGGGACCTCGGCGCGTCGGGAATCGCGGCCCGGAGGGTAAGACCCCGACAGAAACGCTCATTCAGCCGTGGCGCTGGGACGTGGGGTCCCTTTCTACCCCTGGCCCTGGAGAGCGGGTGTGCCAGGTCGCTGGGAAAGAGAAACATTAGGGGGTTACGAAGACTTTGATCTGAACTGATAAGGTCCAGACCCCTCGTCTGGCTGAGAAACGGATGGCCCGAGTTCATGGCCACCCACGGCTCTCTGCGAGGCAGTGCAGTTCTTGAAGCCCAGACTTCCGGCGTGAAACTCCGCTGTCAGCACAATTAGCACCCCTAACAGAGTTGGGTGGCCCCCAAGTGTCAGCTTGTTGACTTGGCAGGTTACAATTGAGCTTTCTTAGTTCGGCAGAGAGCGGGAAATGGAGGAAATGCAGGACGTATAAATGCCCGATGGAGCTGGTTTTTCGTTTTGGACGGTGGCGTAAGAGACACTACCCTTGCAGCACAAGGCCAACAGCTCGAGGGAGGAGCATTCCCTTCTGTCGCTACTTTCCCGAGTTATACTTGATCGCATAGCTCCCCTTCCTTCCTCTCCATTATCAAATACAAGTCCTGGTAAAAGATTCAAAAGGCACTATAGGATATAAATGTTAGTTCCCCACTCCTACCCCCAAACTCCTAGCATTTTGTTTCCCTTTTTTACACAAAAGTGATCCTATTGTGCGTTTTTTCCACTTTACCGGGGGCTGTCTTCCAAAATCAATCTCATCCTTTTAAGCGGTTGCCTATCAGGTGTCCACTGGCCAAATTAGGGACAAAGACAATACAGTTCTCCAATCTGAGCATTCATCAGAATCATGGAAGGGCTGGTTAAGCATTGTGAGGTGTCTAAATTAATGAGTTGCATTTCTAAAAAGTTCCAGGTGATACTGATATTGCCGGTTGGGAACAACACTTTGAGAACCACTGCAATAATGGATCTTAACAGTAACTTCAAAAAAAATCCAGAATAAAAAGTGAAGGTGTGGGCGGGCAGCTATTCTTTTTTTAATTTTATTTCAGAGAGGAAGTGAGAGAGATAGTAACATCAATGATGAGAACCATTGATGGGCTGCCTCCTGCACATCTCGCCCCCACTGGGGAGGGAGCCTGCAACCCTGGGCATATGCCCTTGATCCGAATCGAACCCGGGACCCTTCAGTTCTCAGGCCAACGCTCCACCCACTGAGCCAAACCGGCTAGGGCGGGAGCTATTCTTTCAGGGTGGTCCGTGAAGTCCGAAAGGTTGGCGACCGCTGCTTTAGAGAATATCCAACATATTTAAAAGGGATAATATAATTATTTAACTATCATCATGCCACTCCCAGTGATAAATGACTCAAAGCAAGTATAATTTATGGATACTAAAACTAAAAAGAACACCTTTACAGCAGAGCTATACCTGGCAGTTAGCACCTTAACCAGCTTGATCAAACCTGGTACTACCAGTAGTTAAAGAATCTGATATGTGATTCCAAAATGATGCATTTGTTGTGCAGATCACCTATATTCTTGTCAAAATGCATAACCTGAAATTAACTATAAAGAAATAAATAAAACTCTTGCATTTGAGGCCTAGAAGACACTAAAAACAAGAAAACTGATGTCAGCTGGATAAGAAAAATACAACTAGAAATAAAAATAAAGTCAAAATTAGATTCTGTTCATACTAGTGACAGAAAACACTCTTCTAAACTCAATAATAAACTTGACAACTCATCACGCAATGTTTTTGTAGGGAACCTGGTGCTAAAGCATTCATAGACAAAAAAACAAAACAAAAAACCTTGATAAGAAAAGTGCAGCAATCCTATATAAAACCCTAATATGGAAATCTACCGAACAGCAGAACTACTGGTCACAATGACCACCAGGGGGCAGACGCTCAATGTAGGAGCTGACCCCTGGTGGTTAGCCTGCTCCCACTGGGGGAGCACCACTCAGCCAGAAGCTGAGCTCACTACTGGCTACCACAGAGGTGGTGGTGGGAGCCTCTCCTGCCCCACTAAGGGCCCCTCGGGGGATATCAGACTGCTGGTTTAGGTTCCCTGTGGGGAGCAGGCCTAAGCCGGCAGGCTGACATCTCCCCAAGGGGTCTTGGACTGTGAGAAGGCACAGGCCAGGCTGAGGGACCCCCCCCAACACCCCAGTGCAGGAATGTTGTGCACCCCGCCTCCAGTTATATAATTAAATTCTAACACTTTAGTAACAACATATTTAAGTGCATGTGTTTGAAAATTGCCCCCACATATTTGAAAAATAGTGGTAGTCTATAGTTTTACATTGTTTGTCACAGGAAAAAACAAGATCAGGAAGCAATAGACAGACATTGATGTTTCAGTTCAGTTGGACAGGATTTTAATCATATGGTAATGGCATGAATAGGAACCCATCTAAAGAATCCTACCTCAGACCACAATGATTAAAGATCTAAATGGGAAATTTTTAAAATTTTAGATATTATGGCTTGGAGATGGAGTTGACCTTAACATTGAAAATCCAAAAGCAACAAGAGAAAAAAAAAATTTAATAATATAACTTTTAAGTGTGTGCATGGCAAACGACAAAGTTAAAGAGCAAATGACAAACTGGGAAAGCCTTACAAATTTTAAGTTAGTAGACAACAAAAATTTATTCAAGTAGCCATTAGCAGTATAAATTAAAACAGCAAGCAAGGTAGAATATTTTTTTTGCCAACTTCACAGAAATTGATGACGATGATTACCTTTAGTTCTGGCAAGATTGCAAAGAAAACAAACACTTTTGCACATTGCTGATGACATTGAGAAAGTCCCCTAGCAACACCCACTAGAAATGAGATTACACATACACTTTGGAGAACCCAGTGTACATTTAAAAAAACATGGTATTTAATAACATTTAAACAGTATTGCTTATAGAGACAAAGAAAAAAAACAATCTGAATGTCAACAGCAGAATGATCGAATACATTATAGTATACTATGGGATATAATACGCAAATACAGGGTAAGGCCTATACATGTTGAACATTGCTGAGTATGTACAACAGTCCTATTTTTTAAAACATCAACAATTTACATGCATGATTATGTTTACAGAAATCATGAAAGGATGCATCCCAACTGTTGACATCCTTCAGGTGGATGGACTGAGATGTAGGAAAGTTGGGGAGGGGTAAAATAAAATTTTAAAGATACTTTTGTATGTTTGAGGAGCCCCATTTATTTTCTCAACCAATAAAACCAACAAACAAAAAGTCAAGCAGGTTAGGTTTAGAATATAGATTAAAGTTATTTTTTTCAGTTAAAGAGCTGACACTAAATTTGGTAATCTAAGAAATAGTGGTAAAAGTAGATTAGAATTATTGGAAGCAACCACCAGAAGAGCAGAAAACAGGGGGACTAGGAATGAGGTGGCAGACTTTTAAGTAGAACCAGGCAGGCAGCAGATGCTCCATGATCACTGGGCTTACATGCAGTATGCTCTATGGAAGTAAATTTTGAATGCCTTCAAGTAAAAACCAGATACATAAAACAAAAACAATGTAAGCAACAGTTATATATATATTAGTTGGGTCCCCAAGTTAATCGAAAGCACTTTTTATATTCCCCACCATATATTTACCACACCTTTTAAGGTACCCTAGAGTAAAGTAGCCACATTCAAATGAATTAAGGTATAAGAAGTAAAAAGGACCACAGCTTTATTAAAAGTAAATGTAACATATAATATATACAGATAGCACATGGTGCCAATTGTATTTGCAGGTATTACAGTACTCCAACTCAAGTTCACAAGTTACACCTTTGCCACAGCCTTGGCTAAATCTTTAACTAGTGCAGAATTTAGCTGTGCTAGAGTGCTGATCTTAGCATGCTTAGACGTGGCATACTTGTTCTTGATAGTCTGGAAGAGAAAAGCATAGTAATTAATGAAGGAAAAGAGGAAAACATAAAAAATGCAGTGGTACAGGTATTCATGTAAAACGGGTTGGGAACCCTTTCTCTGCCAAGGGCCATTTGGAAATTTATAACATCATTTGTGGGCCACACTAAATCAACTTAAAAATTAGCCTGCTCTATTTAGGCAAACATTTAATTAACTTACTCCTAATGCCTTGGCAGGGCCAGACCAAATGATTTTGTGGGCCTTATAGGGCTCAATGGCTGGACATTTCCCATCACTGACATAAAACATCAAGTCCTTAAAAATAAGCTATGCATTTGCAGGCATTAAGTCTTTCCATGCATGTACTCTGACAGGGAATTAAACCCTGACCTCTTGGTTCATGGGTCAATGCTCAACCACTGAGCCACACTGGACAGGCCATGAATTCTCATTTTCACTTTCCCCACAATATCCTAAAGTGCCACTGATTGACTTACCATGTGCTTTGTAAGCCCACAATTCACCATGACTATGTTCTTAGCGAGGTGTTGCATAACAAGGAGAAGTGATTCTTCAGTGTATGACAGGTAATGCTGTAGAACTGGTGTCTATGATAATAAGAGTTAATGTTAATAATGCTCATCAACAATGGTTTTCATAAAATTTCTAGATGTTATTCAAGAGGATGGTAGGAAGACTGATACTGTATGACTGCTTATCACTGAAATTTAAGACAAGCTTAAGACCCCTTCTTCCCTAGGCACTCTTCTTTCATGCTTCTCTAAGATCCTGTCCTTAAACCTATCATACACTAACATGCTCAAACTGATACACTTTTTTAATTGTTGATGTATCCACCCCAAACCTAGACTTCAAACTCCTTGAGGCCCACTTTCTCATTCACAATTCTATTCCTAGGCTGAGGGTAGCACATGGCACACAGAAATACTTGTTGAATCAACCAATATGAATAAACTTCTAGTATGTCATTTTTCCTGCTTGTACTTCTCCATCTATAAGGAGTAGCAGCTGTTCTGCCTTTCTCAAGGGGATATAGAAAGATGAAATTAGGTAATTAAATGAAAGCATTCTATGAAGACTTCACAAACAGGATATCATTTTTAATCATTCCCTCCGTAGATGCCACATTTAGGAACCATCTGAATTGTCCTTTAATGAAAAGTTCTGCATTCAGGCAAATACTATTTACAATGTAAAAGCTTAGGGCAACCTAGGTCTGTGGGACAGAGCTTACCCATTCACCATTATCGAGAATTTTCAGTGCTAAGCAAAAAGCTCCAGCTGCAATCTGAGAAGGAGGAAAATGCACCATATCATAGTCTAACATAGTTAGTTCCATCAGGTACTTGGCCAAGGTATGTTGCTCCACATCAACCTGGAACAAAATCCACACAGATCACTGAGCTTCTGCCAGAAAAATTTGCCTTGGCAATAACCAGTATGTACATAACCATAACTACAAATATTTGCCTATAAACTCTTAAGTGCGATTACCCATGGAAGGCCTTAATAATATTAACATGTTAAGCGCCCTGTCAGTCACCGGTGACTGACACTATACTTTCTGTCCAGAAGACAATATAGGCTGGGCGCCTAACATGTTAATATACAGCCTGACTGGAAATAAAGAATATGTTTATCCCTTCCCCATGTAGTTATTAGATCTGCTTGGTCGGCAATATTGTCTAATATACCACACCAAAGGTTTCTCAAGAGATCTATACCTCTCCGATCTTAGATGCTCTCCGAAGGAAGTGCAGGGGTAGAGGGCGACCCAGGCAAAAATTTAAAGCTCTCAGAATCTTCATTTCCATCTGTCTGATTTGGAGCTTAGTGTAAGTGTTGTCAGTCACAAAGGCAAAGTCACCGATTTCTGGAGGGTACATTTCTTCATATTTGCTCGCAATAAACATGGCAGTGACACCAACCAGCTGCAGCATCTTCTTGGGCACAGAATTATTCTGCAATGGGAATTTCAACTGGATGAATAAGTAATATGTATTTGAAAAGAAGACAGAGGTATGAAAAAGACAGACACCTGGAGGTGAGAACTCTCAATTATTGAATTATGCTCACCTGCATGAATCGGTCAATAATGGAAACAGTCATGTACATGGTCTCCTGCAGTAACCTGAATTTCATCTGAACCTGCACCAGCCAATCAATTAGGATGGCTCTCATATTTCCAGTGACTTCACGACCTAGTAGGTATTTTGGTCTGACTGCTTGCTCTTCCTGCAAAAGAAATGCTGATCATTATTAGAAGCAAGACTCCATGTGACATTTCTGACCAGAAATATTAGTCACCACATAATAGCTCTAGAGCATTTAGAATCTCTAGCAGTCCTTAGCTCAGTTATTCATATGGCCACTACAAACAGCTCTATCACTGAAGAGAAAAAGCACACAAACATTAAGTAGAACAGTGTGACAATTTGTATTGGCAGATCTGAGTTCAATTCACCATTGTCCCATACCCTGTACCCACTTGTTCCCAAATAAAGATACTTTACTATCATCTCCAATCTTTTCACCTAAGACTCTAAAACCCAGAACCTGAGCTTTATCAAGTAGAGAAAAATAGCAGCAACTCTCACATCAGCTGGAACCCTGGTGCTACCATTCTCCTGCCCCAGGGTTTAAACCCCCAAAACACCCATCGATAAGGTGAAGAATGAATCATCAAGGTACGGCACATACATTTGCTAAATCCACTCCTCCAAAGTTAGAACACGAACTTTAAGAAGGGAGAAGAAACCCAAAGCAGAAAGCTAGTCCTAGCAAGGAAGTCATCTTGCAAGACAATCATGTAGGAAATGGAGATGCCTCAAAGAAACAGGCAAGAGATTAAAGATGTTAATGATGATAAGGGAAGAGCATGCATTACCAAAAACTGGAAAAATCTGGTAATGCATAGCCTATGTTAGCATACAGAATGTTTCCCCTTTTTGGGGTGGGGGAAGGGATAAAGGTAATGCCGCTAATATCCATCTACCTCCTGTTATCCTCCTTAAACCCAGAGTTTGGGACTTGCCAGTTTCTAACTGTGATAGATATAAATATATCACCCAATCTGTGGAATTTGTTAGAAAGAGCCATGGTAGTATCTACTTTTACTTCAAACTATCCCTGTTCAAAATGGCAAATACAGACTTCCTAAGTTTGTTTAGTGACTTTTTTTTATTCAAGGAAGGAGAATTCGAAAGTGGAATTTGTTAAATGTTTTTCTCACATCCAACTTAAATTATTGTAAACTATTAATAGAAAATACCTAATAAATTTAGATGCAGTTTAGAAAAAAAACCCCAAAGATTCTAATCATAATACTGACCTCAACTTGTCTCAGATAAGTATAGATATCTTTCACATATTCACTACAAAGGTTTGGATCAGCTCCATCCTCTGCATCCACATCATTCACTGCAAGCATTACATCAGAGAAAGCCTGGCACAGATATTCTTCTGCAGGGGCACAGCCAGATGTTTCCATTGGGCTTGGAGAGGGAGTATCAACCTTGAAAAGAGAAAGACTTTTAAAATTAATAGCAAAGAGGAGCTTAAAATCTGGGAATAAAGAACAGATTATTGGTACCAACTCAAGAGATCATTTGCTGAATAGTCATGTAATTCATTTCCTTAAAGGAAAAATACCTTCTTTTTACATTTATTCAATATCTTGTCAGGAAGTGATTCATATGAAAAGTGAGCCAATTTGAAATCAGCAGAACCTAAATGCTTAACAGGTAAAACAGAAAGCAAATTCATTCTGGACCTTCCTCCAAAGGAAATTGATAAGTCACAAATCTCTTTATCAATGTCTGTGAAGTTAACCCAAATGAATGACAAGTCAGTCTTTTCCTGTTTGTCTCAAAATATAGACTGCTTGTCACTGGAGCAGGAGTTCTGTCCTGACTACTAATTATTAATTGACTTTATTAATGATTTCCTTCAAATCCGTTACCTCACTGTTCATTTATTGAGCACTTTCTTCAAGCCAAGCTCTGTGGTAGGCACTGACTTTATGATGTCCTAGTGGGGCTTTAAATTTAGAAGAGAGAAGTTAGGAGAAGCAAGAGGAGTTATTCTAGGAACAGTAATTGGGGTGGGGGAAGTTAGTTAAAGCTTCAGGAGTTAATATTTGAGATGTTTTGAAAGCTGCAAAGATTACTAGCTAAATGAAAGGGAGCGGGAAAGGAAACCTCAGGTAGTTTGGTACTGCCAATTAAAGATTGTGCATGCTTCAGGTTTCATGAGCTAGGTCCAGAAGGTCAATACTAAGTCTTATACCCTTAGATATAAGAAGTCAGGCTGAATGACATTTACAGATTTTCCCAACCGGTTTTACTAATTTTTTAAAAATAAGAGCTTCAGAATGCAGTTCATTGTAATTTCAGCAACGCAGCCTCTTCCAGATGACCTGTTTTCCCCTCACAGTAAATACATTTATTTAATTCTTGGTTTTTGAGGCTAACTCATCTTTTTACCTACTTTTGGAGAGCTACATTTTCTTTCTGCTTTACACTATTATATATTACAGGCTTATTAATATTTAACTAGTGAGTGAAAAAATAATTCAAGAGAACAATCTATGTTTCAGTCAACAAATTTTGGTCAGAAATGACTTGTATCAAAGACAGCTCAATCCGGTCCAGGCAGTTACTACTCAATACCATCAACAAACCGATTAAAAGCATAGGTTGTGCCCTAGCAGGTTTGGCTCAATGGATAGAGCAGGCCTGCAGACTGAAGGGTTAAGGGTTCAATTCTGGTCAAGGGCACAGTGATTCTCTCTTATCATTGCTTTTTCTATCTCTCTCCCTCCCTCTACCTTCCTCTCTGAAATCAATTAAAAACAACAACAAAAAAATATAAAAAGCATAGGTTATGCCCTGGCCCGTGGTGCTCATAAAGCATGGGAAGGGTTGCAGTTGGATTCAAGGGCAGGTATCTATCTGGTTGCAGGTTTGATCCTGGCATGGTCAGGTGCATCTCTTTCACATCAATGTTTCTTTCTCTCTCTTTTTCCCCTTCTCCCCCACTCTCTCCTTCCTTTCTACTCTCTAAAAATCAATGGAAAAAAATACTCTATAGTGAGGATTAACAACAATAAAAAAAGCACAAGTTGTGAAGCCAGACAAGCCTGGGTTTGAATCCAATTATGTGCCACTGATTAGACATGACTCTAGAACATGCTTATCTATAAAGCAGAATACTAGCGAATAGAATTAACGCATTTAATGTTTAGCAGAGTACTCTATAAATGTTACTATTACTATTTATTCAATTGCTATTCCATGCATTAGAATATCAAGTGAGGTTTGAAAGAAACAATCAACAGACTCTAAAATAGTAAAATAGGTTTACCAGAATAGGCTCAGGCGAAAGTTTTTCTTCTTTAACAGGCTCCGGCTCGGGCTCCCGCGCTGGTTCCGGCGCAGGCGCGGGCGCAGGCACAGATGCAGGCCCCAGTGCCTTTTCCATAGGTTTCGGTAGTTTTTTAGCAATAACTTTTCCAGCAGCTAATGTTTTTGCCTCCTGTAGATGAATGGGAGAGAATGAATGTTTTTCTCTCCAGGGTCACAGCTGGAAAGTGGACTTTTAGAGACACGTTGAACTGGGAAGATAGGTACCTTTTTCAGAGGCAGCTTGGCCTGGGGCTGTTCACTGACATTGTTAGCGATGTCTCCAAGGGCTGTTCTCGGCCTCAGCCCGGCCTTGGAGGTTGCAGTAGTGGCCACGGGCACGCGCTTTGCGCCTGCTATAGTGATCTTCGCCTTATTTTCGGCATTAATTTTCGTGTTCTGAAAGAAGCAAGACAATTGGAGAGCTGGCCCAGACAGGTTAGAGTAAGTCGGGGTTAAGAGGAGCCCAAAGAGAGGCCCTTAGGACGGAAGTCGGCTGAGAGCCAGGGGAAACCGGGTTGCAGGGTCTGGCTAAGACCGTGACAAGCCCGTTTCCTCCCAGAATCCCTTCACTCTCGTACAGAGGGATTGCCGATGGGTCCCGGCTGGCCCTAAGATACCACGGCTTTGCATCTGAAAGGAAAGAAAAAAGGTCTCCAATTGCCGGCACCTTCTCTCTCTCCGGGAAGGGAGTCAACACAGTCGGTGGGAGCCCACACAGGGAGCCTCATCACCTTTTACTTTGTTTTTTAAAATATATTTTTTATTGTTGGTAGTATTTCCCCGCTCCATCACCTTTTAGGAAAGGTTTTCCGTCGACCCTCCAACAGCCGCCCCCTCCCCCAGTGTTTATCCAAGGCTCATCCAGATCTTTGTCACCTTCCTCTCTCCGTCGGTCGGATCTCCAAGCTCCCCACCAGGGGCCCACCGACACCCTTATCCTCCTCCCCAAATCCCTGCGTGGTCCGCTCCCGCCCGGGGGCTCCGGCAGACAAGATAGGAAGGGAGCACGCAGCGAGAGGGCCGCGCCCTCCCTCTCGCCGTCCGCAGCAGCTCACTCACCCTGGTGACCCGGAGCGCCATGGCTTCCTCTTCACCAGGCCGCAGCTCAGCGGGAGAAGCAGAAGACGGGAGAGCCCCCAGGAGCTGGGGACCGGTACCCAACACAGGCCAACAGCCGTTCCGCCGCAGCACGCCGGCGACGCCGGGCCCAGCCGCGAATTTAAACTCCGCACCGCTCTCTCCTCATTGGCCAGTTCGTGGCACTCGCTCCCTTCCCATTGGCGGATGCCGGTTCCCGAGAATGCGTTTCCACGGCGATCCCGCGACGGAGTTCGAGACGGGGCGGGGCCAGAGCGAGCGTGCGGCGTCGCTCGGTCGGGCTCTGCGCCTGCGCTCTGCGGCCAGGCGAGGCGAGACGAAGCTTGTGCGCCGCCAGGTGTCGCGGAGGGGCCGGCCGTGTGGCCTCGGAAAAGTGACAGTGGAGCAGCCGCAGTTTGAGAAGCAAGAGAAACAGTATGTTTCTAATCCTACTTATTGTTAACACACTTTCAATATAATGTATACCGCCTCTCTCTCTCTCTCTCTCTCTCTCTCTCTCTCTCTCTCTCTCTCTCTCTCTCTCTCTCTCTCTCCTCTCTCTCATATATATAGTGGTGTGCAGCAGTGCAGATGAGATGAAAGAAATTGGAAAGGGTAAAATTACACAAGTCCTGTAAACCGAGATAAGGAATCTGGACTATTTGTGAAGTGAAAGCCTTTACAGGTGTTTTTTTTTTAATTGACATAAATTTGTTTAAATGTTTTTACTGATTTTTTTGTTTTTAGAGAAAGAGTAAAGGAGAAGAATCGAGAGGTGGAAAAAATCAATGAGAGAGAAACATCAATGGGCTGCCTCCTACACACTCCCCACTGGGGACGAGCCCGCAACCTGGGCATGTGCCCTGACCGGGAATTGAACCATGACCTCCTGGTTCATAGGTCCATGCTCAACCACTGAGCCACCGTGGCCAGGCTGGAGGGTTTTAAACCAAGGTGTGGCATAGTCTATCTTTCAAAAAGATAACCTTAATCACTGTAAGGTAATGTATGTAAGTGAGAAGGAGGAGGAGAAACAGAAGAGAAAGTGAAGCAAGGGGAGCCATGAGGAGGCTATTGTAAGAGGCCAGGCAAGAGACGATGGCTTGGATGGTTCTGGTAGGGCTAGACAGAAAGGGATGGGTGCTAGAAATAGTTTAGAGATAGACTTGCCGGGGCCTGATGGCTTGCACGGTTAGAGAGAAAAAGGAATCAAGGATGACTCAAGTTTTGGCCTAAGTAACTGAAACAAAGAAGACTAAAAGATGAGCAGCTTTTAAGGGATAGCAAGTTTGGGGTAGGAGATTAAGATAACAACCAATGAAATTGAAGCAGTAACCAAAACATTAATTAAAAAAGACATCATTCAGCATGATTTACAATAGCCAAACTGCGGAAGCAACCTGTGTCCATCTTCCACCGATAGACAAATGGATAAAGATGTGGTATATATGTATACAATGGAATATTAGCCATAAAAAAAGAATGAAATCTTGCCACTTGCAAAAGCAAGGATGGACCTAGAGGGTAGTATTATGCTAAGTGAAATAAGTCAGACAGAGAAAGGTAAATACCATATGATTTCACTTATATGTGGAAGCTAAAAAAAAACAAAATAAATGAACAAAAAAAACCAGGACCAAGCTTATAGATTCAGAGACTAAATCAATGGTTGCCAAATGGGAGTTGAGGGGAAGAGGGAAAAGGGATTAAGATGTATATATCGCCAGTTATAAAAAAGTCACGGAAATGCAAAATATAGAATAGGGAATATAGCCAATATTTTAATAACTATGTATGGTGTCAGATGGGTACTAGATTTATGGGGTGATAATTTTGTAAGTTATATAAAGGTCTAGCCACTATATTGTACAACTGAAACGAATATAATATTGTATGTCAACTGTAATTGAAAAATAAAAAAATATTAAAATGAAAATAAGGAGAAAAAAAAAAGACTGAGAAAATACAGGGAGGAAATTACAGAAATAATACAAGAAAACTTCCCAAACCTGGAGGACATGAATTTCATTAATTCATGTCTGAGTGTCATGTATAATAAGTGAACAAAAACTTATTCCATGGCACACTGTGCTGGCATATAATATTAAGAATAATAGCCAGGCAGATGTGGGTCAGTGGTTGAGCATTGACCTATAAACCAGGAAGTCATTGTGATTCCCTGGTCAGGGCATATACCCAGGTTATGGGCTCAGTACCCAGTGTGGGGAAAGCAGGAGGTAGCCAATGATTCTCTCATCATTGATGTTTCTCTCCCTTTCCCTTCCTCTCTGAAATCAATTGAAGTATGTTTTTTAAAAATGTTCTTGCTCTAATGCCTAGACCTGTGAATATGAAAAGACCAGAGTAATTTACCTGACAAAAGAGGCTTGGAAGACCTTGAGATAGGAATTACTCTGATTACCTGGGTGGGTCCACTGCAGCCACATGAGGCCTTAAAGGTAGGAGAGGATGGGAGAAGAGGTGGTCAGAGAAAGATGCAACAGGGGAAGAAGAGGCAAGAGAGATCTGAAATGGGAGAAGCATATGTCCAACTGTTGCCGACCTTGAAGATAGAGGAAGGAGGTCACAAGCCAAGGAATGTAGGTGGCCGGTAGAAGCTGGGAACACCAGCAAACAGGGACCTCAGTCCTACATCCACAAGGACTGAATTCAATTAGTCTGAATGAACAAGGAAATGGCTTCTCCCCTAGAACCACGGTTCTCAACCTGTGGGTCGCAATCCCTTTGGGGGTCGAACGACCCTTTCACAGGGGTCGCCTAAAACCATCGGAAAACACATATATAATACATATTGTTTTTGTGATTAATCACTATGCTTTAATTATGTTCAATTTGTAAGAATGAAAATACATCCTGCATATCAGATATTTACATTACGATTCATAACAGTAGCAAAATTGCAGTTATGAAGTAGCAATGAAAATAATTTTATGGTTGGGGGTCACAACATAAGGAACTGTATTTAAGGGTCGCGGCATTAGGAAGGTTGAGAACCACTGCTCTAGAAGGAAATGCAGCTCTGCAGCACCTTGATTTTAGCCCCATGAGACCCATACTGGATGTTTGATCTTCAGAACTGTAAGTTTGTGTTAAGCCACTGAATTTGTGGTAATTTGTTATGACAGCAATAGTTAATACAAACCATTTTCTGTGCTTGATCACTATAGTCTTCTCTGCCTTTGAATTTCATATACAGAGAATCATACGGTATGAATTCTTGTGTTTGGCTTCTATTATTTTTAAAAATCTTGATGAAAATATTACATATGTCCCCCTTTCCCCCCAATCGACCTCCTCCAGCCCACCCCAACCCCCTGCCCCAGGCCCTCACCACCCCACTGTCTGCATCCATGGGTTATGCATATATGCATACAAGGTTTTTAGCTGATTACCTCCCACCCACCTACCCTCTCCCGTCTTCCCTCTGAGATTCTGCACTCTGTCCCATGCTTCCATGTCTCTGGATCCACTTCGTTCATCAGTTTACTTTGTTAATTAGATTCCACATATGAGTGAGAGCATGTGATACTTGTCTTTCTCTGACTTATTTTCACTTAAAATGATACTCTCCAGGTCCCTTCCATGCTGTTGGCTTCTTTCACTTAACATGTTTTTGAGAATCACCTATATTGTTTGTAACAGTAATTAAAAAAACAACGGTTAAGTAGTATTCCATTATGAATACACTACACCTCCTGATGGACATTGGATTGTTTCCAGTTTTTAGCTATCATGAGTACATTTTAAAAAAATGTATCTTTATTGATTTCAGAGAGGGAGAGGGAGAGATAAAAACATCGATGAGAATCATTATTTGGATGCCTCCTGCACGATTGGGGATCGAGCTGTGCCCTGACTGGGAATCAAACCGTGACCTCCTAGTTCATAGGTCGATGTTCAACCACTGAGCCACGCTGGCCTGACCATCTCTGAATTAATATAGTGGGTATTTTAGGGGAGAATCATAATCTAAATTTAAAGTAAAGCCAGGATTCTTTAGAGATATTTAACTATATACTAGTATAGCCTCATTCTTCTACTGTAATGAGAAAAGTTTAAAGTTTGATCAATTATCATGTAATAGAAACAATAAATCTGTGTCTTAACAGATGTAACATTTATTCTAAGTGGAAATCACCAGTGCCTAAATTGGTAAGAAGGGAAAACAATAGTTGGAAAGAAAGGGAAAGGAGAGAAATGGGGAGGGATAAAAGAGAAATCAATAGTTTTGTTAAGCAACCACCACCACCCTTCTTGGGGCAAACGAACTATAAATAGACTTGTTTTGGGCATTATTTTAAGCTTGTTTGTTCACTTAATATAATATTAATTAATCTCTCAGATGCTGATTTCAATAGGAAAAAATGACAAATAAAAGCTACCTCTGAAGTGAGGTTTAAAATATTAAAAATCCTTTAACTTTACTTAGCCCTTTTCAACTTTCAATTTATTTTCACATTATTCCTTTTGCTCCTCATACTCCTGTGAATTTGAGATTTGGTTTTGATTTTATGTATGAGAGAGAAAAAGAAAGATACTTGGAGAGGCTGATTTGTCTAAAGTCGCATGGTTTGTATGAGCTGGAACCAGTACCCAGGTGCTCTTCAATGTGGAGTTTCCCTGCTTTCTGCTTGCACTCCCCTTAATCTTCAGCCCCTGCCTTCTCTCTCAGTCACATTAATTTTATTTTCCTGTTGTTTATATGTCTTCTAAGGAAAATGATAAGTTTAGTAATGGTGCAATATTCATTGTACCTATCTACTTAAAAATTTTTATTGTACAAAAGTTGCATTGAAACGCCAATATGCATTTATTTCCCCACCATTCATAAATTTTTAATTTTGAAGATTCTGGACCAGATAATATGTAAAGAGAAGACAAGGATTATCCAAATAAGTTATAACAAATTTCTAAACCTCTCACATATTAAAATTAGTAAGACAAAAATATGATTTACAGTACACATTTGCCATTATGTTAGATAAGAAAATAGTACCCATACTAAAATTAATTCATCCTACTTATCAAAATTTCTAGTATAAGAATGAAAATATTCAGATTCTTATAAATAGACAGGTATTCAAAAGTTTCTTT